AATTTTTTTTTTAATTTCTCCTCTTTTATACTTCTTCTATCTCTTCTATCCTTTAATTTTAATAATTTAAAAAATAATTTATTAACTTTCATGGTGTGATTCACAATCATTTAATTACATTAAAAAAAAACTAATGAGTATTTTTGCACATTAACACTACTTGAGGCTTGGATAAATCTATCCAAACGATGAGATTCTTAATTTCTCTCTTTTCTTTTTCCTTTGAGAGGAAATTATTATTTTCTTATTTAATATATTCAATTACAATAATTTATTGAACCAAAAATGCTAATAAGTTATATTAGTAGAAACTTCCTAGCTACAAATTATGAAAGCTAAAATAAATAAATAAATATTTTATTTTAGGATATTTACATGTATTCTCCAACAGATATTAGTATTTGAATATTGAGTTTTAAACATGATAATATATATATAATTTTAGTTTGAATATTTTATTTACTTATCAAAAACTGAATTAAACTGAATTGAAAACACACTTTTTTAAACAAAACCAATCACTTTTTAACACATTAAAATTTTTAATTTTAAAACTTTAATTAACATTTAAGAATATTTATTAAATTTTTTAATATATAATTTATATTATTCTTTAATATATATAACCGCTTAGTATCAAGACTCTAATATTATATTAAATAATCATTTTAATCCAGTACTTTAAACTGTTAGGTAAAATTTCAAGATGTAATTTTTATTATTCTCTAAAACACACACACACATATATATATATATAGTTTAATTATTTTATTTATATATCAAAAGCTTAATTAACCTAAATTGAAAATACTCTTTTTTAAACAAAACTAATTGCTTTTAAACACCTTAAATTCTTCAATTTTGAAACTTGAATTAACATTTAAGAATATTAATTAAATTCCTTTAATAAATTAAACTGATGTGATTTAGATTAACAAATAAAATAATTCAAGAAATCCCTTATTATTGAATAAAAAAGTTATTTAGTTGATCAAACGTTAACACTACAGCAGGCTCGATCATGTTTTTTCTACTCTTTTTAATAACAAAATGAATTTTTATGTCAAGAAAAATCTTTGATGACGAAATTTGTTCAGAACAAAAACTCGCAAATCATTATGATTAGTAAAGCTAGAACATGCTTTCAAATCATTCTCTATTTTCCTTTGTTCTCATCATTCGAGCTAATAAATCACGAGTTTCCTCCTTATTGAATTACGACCTCACATTGTTTAAAGCCTACTATCCTTGACATCAATATACTAAAACAATTAAAAATTATAAAAAATAATTTAAGATTTTGCGAACGACCAGCTAATTAAGAGCAAGATCCACAAATAGCATCCTGCCTCTTTGATTTTTTTCTTGGCAATGTGATTTCTCTGCGGTTCGAGCAATGCACAAGATCTGTACTTTTGGTTGCATAAACTTGTATGAGTAGTTTGATGCAGAAAGAGATAAAGGTATAGTTAGTCTCTTTCTTCTTGCTTTATACTTGTATCATACAATTATTGCTAAATTGTACCAGAAAATATGGTTTTTTATCGTTCTGTGCTTCACTGATAATTAGTCTCTTTCTTCTTGCTTTATAAAAGTGGGACTTGCAGAAAGAGAAGAGCGACAAACAAAAAGACTATAGTCAGTAACTAGATTGGTGTCACGCTAAGCCGCGGGTTGTATTTCTTCCTAAAGTAAGAACAAAAAATTCAGGCGATGCTAGTATTGTTAAATAAGCAAGAAATATTCAAGTTATATGATTCTTAGCCTCAATTTAGTAAACTTGATTAATTTAATAATATAATATTAAATAAATAGTAATCTCACATAAATTGAAAAAAAAAACCTAAATTAACCTAGTTTAATATTTCAACATATGAAATCAAGATAACTCCATGAAAATAAAAAAACAAAATGAAATATAATCCCCAATAAACCTAATATTCAAGAATAGAATTGAAAACAAAAATAATTGTAAAAAAATAACCTAAAGAAAAGACCTAATTCAACTTAGACTAATTTTTAAAACACAATAATTGTAAAAAAATAACCTAAGAAAAAACCTATGACCGAGGTGCTAGAGTCAAGATTACCTCATAAAAGATAAATAAAAAAATCATGAAATAAAATTCTTGATCAACAAAATAAATAATAATAATAAAATAAGAATCTTATTTGATATAAAAATAAAATAAAATTAATGTTGAGGGATGACATTGAAAATAAATAAATAGAGAAAATGATTCAAAACAAAACAAAACAAATAACTATCAAAAAAATAAAAACTAAATATGAGAAATGAGAAAATCAAAAGAGGATGAAATTAAAAAAGATTTTGATTTCATAAATTATTTCAATTTAAACAATAATAATAAAAAAAAGGGGAAAATCTAAAGAATAAGCAAATTAAAAAATTGTTTTGAAAATTTAGAGTCATACTTGAAAATCAAGAAGGAAAAAGGGGGAAATCTAAAGAATAAACAAATTAAAAGATTGTTTTGAAAATTTAGAGAGTCATACTTGAAAATCAAGAAGGAAAAAGAAAGAAAAAAAAAAAGAAAAATTGTTTGGTGTCAAGAAAAAGATTCGTCCACCAAACTCATTATTCTTTAATGGAGGTGACATTAAGAAAATTCAAAAGTTGTCACAAAAGATACAATTTAAAAGTTAGATATTTCCATCGACATTATTCAAATGACATAAAGACATTTCACATGCTGGCGTATATGTTGACTTATTGTTTTTTAAATTAATTTGGTTATTACTAAAAAAAGCATGAAGAAAATATAAAAAAGCTCTTGAATGCTAGTTAAAGAACTTTTGCTTGTAAAAATAATTTAGTGATTTTACTATATTTAAGAAAAGAGAAAAGTAAAAAGAATCCTCCTCCATGACAATCAATTTTTTTTCTTTTAATTTTAATAACTTTAGGCTTTGGAGCCTAAAACTATTTTCGACCCAATCAACTTCTTAGACCTTCTTTTCAAGGCTTTCCTGCTACCGTGTTATTCTATAATTTTTTAGAATGTATTTGATATGATTTATAAGAAGTAATTTTTGAGTTTGAGTTGTAATTCAAAAATTATTTTTTTTTAATAATTTATAAAAAATTAAATTAAAGTAATTTTAATAAAAATGATTCAAAAATACTAAAATCACTCAATACAATTTTTCAATCAGTATTTGATATAAAAATATATCACTCTTCTACATGCACTAAGATTTATGAATTATAATTGAATAGAAGTAAATTATTTAAAAGAAGAAATTACACCACCATCTTATAGTTTAGTAATTTTTATATTTATTTTCATGTTTTGAAAAATTACAGTTTATATTAAAACTCTTCACGGATATAAACAATAAATTGTTAAAATATAAAAAGAAATATAAAAACAACTAAATTATAAGATGATCAGGTAATTTTATCTATTTAAAATAACAAGTTATGTTTCCTGCATTACAAGGACCAAGGGAGAAGAACTATCCTTCTGCAACATCACTTCTTGGTTGATGGTTGATGATGAGATTTCGAAGAAATCCAACTAAAGAACGGATCATTAAATCAATGATTCCAACCACAGTGGTCCAATTGGAAATTGCATAGGGCCATATAGATCTCACTGGTCCAGCTGAGCTATTGAGTTGCTCTTGAAAATAAACTTGTGTTCGTAAGAGTCCAAGTCTGGCTTATCCTTGATCTTTGGTTCGATTGAGCTAGGCCCCTGACAAAAATAATAGTAACAAGGATAATTTAAGGTGACCCATTGAGTGGTATGCTGGCTTATCCTTTTCATTTGTGCCCATGTTCATATGCAGTTTTTTTATACTATTAAGTCTGTGACCAGAAAAGGATGGGAAAAAAAAAGTGAGATTTTGCAGCTTGGAGTGTAGAGTTTTTCAATCTTCTTCCTCATCTGAAGATTTTAAATGTCTCAGCAAAAGTAGTTGAATGAACACTAAGTTAGCCAGGTAACCTCATCATCAGTGATGCTAGATCAAGGCCCTTTATCAGCAGTTTTCTCTTCCCCTACATCGCTTGCTTCCCTCCCCTTTCTTCTACATGTTCAGTGATTCCTTCTCTTCCCTTTCATCTATCGGTTAGGTTTCAAAAACGAAATAGGTGAATTGAATCTCCATCATCACCATTTGTTAAGGTCTTATTTGTTTCTAAGAATGAGAGTAAGAATAAAGAGAAAATGGCAGAGAGAGTGTTGATCAATCAAGACTATAATTTTAGTACTTGGATTACAAGTTTCATGTACATTGATACATTTATACAAGAATCCAACTTCTCTAACTATCAGCTGAACTTATAACTAAGTGCTAAATAATCTAATTCAATGACCAACTAATTAACTAAGATTGTCATGTTTAATCCTCTTGATCTTACTGCATACTCAATCGCAATTACAGCTGTAATTTTTGTTGCTGCATTTTGCGAGTGCTTCCTGCTGAATTCTGCTAATGACCCTACTGATCTTCTGTTTCTATTCCTAACCAATGACAGGATTACTTGAACTTGGAACTCATAAGTAATTCGAGAACAGGCCATCTCTTAGGTGCCCCCTTCTCTCTCCACTCTTCTATCTGTTTTGTTTACAAAAAGAACAGATGGATTGAAAGTTATGATCTCAGTGCAAAAAGTCGAAAAGAGAAAAGAAAAAACCTTGGCAGGCATGCTTCCACGTCTCCGGAAAAATATTCATTGCACTGTGTAAATTCATAGTGCCAACAAGTCTGTGTAAATAGTAAAACTCTGAGCAGTTTTAGTTTGTTTGTTTTTTTATGTTAATGACTCTAAAATTTTCTTGTAGAATCCTTAGGTCTTTTATCAGGACAATAAAATTTATTCTTCTTTTAATTTTGTATTTTTTTTACTCCCTGTTAAATTATGTAAATCTAGCAAACTGTCATACCTCGGTATTCCCTCCCTGCATTAGCCCAGAGGAAAAGGATTAGATCAAATCTAGTCTAATTTAGCACTATATGCACATAAGCACGTCTCAAATAGCTTTATTCATGAACCATATGAGCTAGTACATTATGCTACAAAAGAATCCATTGAAGAACATTCACTACATGCTCAGGCAATTCCTTATTTTCCCATGTGTTGCTAGAAAAATTCAGAATGGCACAAGCCGACAGTTCTAGCAGAGTCAGATTAGCAAATACAAAAGATGTAGCCGACATCATGGTGATTGACATTCAATCACCATGAATACCATCATAGAAACTTGTTTACGGCTGAACTATAGTGTTCTGAGCTTCAACTGTACTCTATATAAAGCATACAGATAGGCAATCTACATGCCCCATGAACCAGGAATATCAATCCACTCTAACTGGAGTTCAACCTCGCCACTCTCCACATGTCGAAGTCTAAGAAACATGTTTTGAATCACTTTGCCATTAGCCCAGACAATGCAGCTCTCTTCAGCTAGGCAGTTTTCCCTGGTTGGTTGAATTTTTCTTATAATAGTTCCACTAGGGAGGTTATCCAATTGCATCTTTACGACTTCTATGAATTGTCTGATGTCGAATTCTGCATCTCCCATCTTATCATCTAAGCTGAATGTGTCTTTGTCATACACTTTCTGCAGTTACAATAAACGAAGCTCTTTGTCACAAAGAATTCAGCCAGCAGCATTCAGCCAGCAGCATTCAACCAGCAGCATGTAACATAGTTAAATGCACGTAAATCTTGTCCTCATTACAACAATGAAATGCATTTCATTCTGCTAATCGGATGCATGTTGATGACAAACTACGTTATCTTGTACCCTAAAATGCACCAAAAATGAGATTCTTTTGTCTTGTTAAATAATCCTCCTATAGCAACCTAAAAAATATTGTGCCAAAGCACAGAATAATTCAGCATGAAGAAAGACGTGAAACTTTAAACATGTTGACTTTATATTTGCATTAATATTGCAACAAGATTTTGCTCAAAAAGGTTTCCTGGCACGGGAATTTCAGTCAGGCTTTCTATGTAGTCCAGCCGGCGATAACAAATGATTCTGAGTAGTAGGTGTGATCAATCTGATATATTAATTAAATAAGAATCTGCTCTAAACAAGTTTATAGCTCAGCAAGATAGGTTTACATACAAGAAAAGATTTAGTCACATCAAACTAAAATAACAGCTAAAAAATATCATAACTTCAAATCTAAATCTAAATGCAGAAGCAAAGAAGCCTAGCTGATGCCTGCTAGACACATTGAAAATTAAGCAACTTAAAACATTCAGTTCTTCGGATGAAAAATAAATACTATTATATATACTCACTATCAAAACTGGAAGATTTGGATCCACAACGGAAAGAGTTAAATCATCATTCCACTCAGGATTGATATTTTGCTTTATAACACGAGTCTTCAGTTTCTGTAAGAGAACACATTGATAAAAATCAATTCAAGAAAAGAAAATCACAGAATATTCAAGTTCTTGATGTTATGACAAGGCTTCGCAAGCACAAGAGAAAAATTTAACCACATCAAGATACAAGAGACCAGCATAACCATTTTCTTTCCATTTCCAGTCTTATTAATTCCTTCTTGGGTTAGACTTTGTGGATGTGGAGACCCAAAAAAATATAGGTGGATGGATTTTAGCGTAGGACGCCCACTCTCAACTCTCATCATTCAACAACAACTTAAGCTTGTAGTCAACAATTAGTGCTAAGAATAAAAAAGACAAACAACCACACATTTTGTTTGTTAATTATCTTTCTATGTTGATGATGAAAGTCTGAAACATAAGTTCCTTATTGAAAGCAATCCTTACCTTTAAAGGACAAGAGTAATTAAATAACAAGAGTAACTTTTGAGAGAATAAATTTCAAAGAGCTTTGCAACTGGATGATCATTTCCATCAAATCTGAAAACATTATAGAGAACAACCTTGAACTTGTTCAAATATTGCACTATAGACTGCCAGAAATTCTCATTTTAAAGTTAGGGATAAAACTGTGTTTTTTAAAAATTATTTTTTTTATATTTTTGATTGATTTGATTTGTTGATGTGAAAAATATTTTTTAAAAATAAAAAAATAATATATTTTTAAATAAAAAATATTTTAAAAAATTATTGTTATTATATTTTCAAATACCCCAAAATCAAAGAAATCGATTAGGGTGAGTCTAACAACAATAACCCTACCTGCTTGGAGAGAATTTATAACGGAAGATAGGATTACAATTCAGTTTTAATTTTGAAGGTGTGAAAACAGGACTTAAAAACTAAGGTGAACAGAGTCAACGTCAAGAAGACTTTTTTTCATTTTTGGTTTTAACTGTTCCAAGACCATGTTCCTTGCTGGTTGAGTTTTCGGATTCAGAAGAAGAAATTCTCTTTTTCTGCATCCCCTTGAATTTGAAATAGAGATGATAACAAGATCAATACCAGCCATCCAAGGGTAACAACAACAGGACCAGTTCATGACTTTCAAAACTGATTAATCCTAATAACAATCGACAAACCAATAATTAATGCCATGACACCACCACCGCACACAGGGTTAAAACAATTTGCACAGCAACACCTAAGTAACTCATATATAGCATTAAAAATCACAGTAACCAAACTCCAAACCAATCCAAAAGCATTATTAATTACAGTAACCAAACTCCAAACCAATCCAAAAACAAGAAACAAAACTGAACAGGAGCAAAAAGTCAAAATGATGCAAGAAATGAAACAAAGATACACAAGAACCAGTACAAGAGAACATATGTAATACCTGTTTGCCCATCTTGACCACAACATAAGGGTCACTGCTGCGGATATCTCTGATAGCAAGGTCGATCCCTCTGGTCACATGAATTCTAAGCAAACCTAACAAGTTCTCCATGACTAGAAAAAGATGAAACAAAAGAAACCAAGAAAACTGATTGGTTTCAGCAACAGAACTGAGGAGAAGACAAGAGTTGTTACGTCTAAAGTTCTTGTGATTTCTTGTTTTCGCAAGAGGGGGGAAGTGAAGTGGATGGTCTGAAATGACAATTGGTCTTGTATTTATTGATTTAGAATAATATAAATAATTTCACGTGATTTTATCTCATTGATTTTAATTTATTGAGTTAAATTAGATTTTTAATATAGTAATATCAAAGTGTTGACCAAGTAATTATAACTTCAAATCTCATCGTCCCAGTTTCCGCATGAGAAGATTCTTTGACATTTATCGTGTGCGAAACATGAAGATCTTATTCTCGGAAGTTGCAATGCTATGTTAGATCATATTTCTATGTGGGGTTTTAAGGTACAAAATGTGAAAAATATATGTCAAATATTGTCATCGTCTTCGTCTACTTATTTAATATTATATTTCCTTGTGAGATCAGCTCAAGTTTAAGTTTTTATGTGAGATAATTTTTATTTTTTTTTACATTTATCATGTACAAAACATGAAGGTTTTATTCTCGGAAGCTGCAATGCTATGTTAGATTATATTTCTTTGTGGGGTTTGAAGGGACAAAGAAAAACATTTCAAATATTATCATGGTCTTCATCTACTTGTTTAATAAGCTATTCAAAAGATCGTTAAATGTGACTCGCTATTTTGGACTCATTCATTCAAATTTTCTCGTTTATCATGTCAAACTATTAAATGATCTTCATGGAGAGGTTGACTTGGCCAATAAGGAGTTTTTGGGGATTGGACCTTCCCATCCCCGTATTCTTCAAGTTCTTAAACTTTTATATGATCACTCATTTCTTGGTAAAAATAGGGTTTGCTTTGATGAAGAAAAAAAAAAAACCTTATTCAAGATTTTAATTATATTATTTTTATCATTAATGTTTTATTGAAAAACTAAATATTTAATTACTTTCTCTTGTGAAAATATTTTAATTTTAAATAATAACTATCAATATGAGTTAGGTTATGAGTTATTAGATCAACTTAAATTAATTTTTTTTTTTTATAAAAACAAGTAATTTTATTTATAAAAATACAGTGTTTATCAAGTTTAATTTATATTTGATTTGACATTAATCTATCATGTTAATTGAATTTGATCGGACAATATCTTTGAACTCAATCCAAGCTTTAAAAAATAGATTCCGAGCTCAGCTAACCCATGAATTTTATAACTATGTTTCCTTCTACGTGCAATTACAAGGGGAATTTCGTTTGAAAACGTTATATTTTCTATAAGTGGGTTGTATTTTGTAGTTCTATCTATATAACCATATTGTTTTCGCCAAAAAGAAAGGAAAAAATAATTTTTTTGTGACAGTGAGATTCGAATAATGAATTTTCACTATCTGTCAATGCGGTTTTAATGGCCGGACGATCATTGGAACATGGTGAAAACACCAAAGTGCAGATTTTTTTATTTTTTTGAGAAGATAAACCAAAGTCCAGATCGTTAATTTAAAGCAATATGGCTAAATTTCATTGCGAGGAATCGGCAAAGAAAAGAAAAGAAAAACGAGTCAACATCGTAATGTGTATTAATTTGAGAGATTGTCTCGGTGAAGAAGGGAATTGAGAGCATTGAAAGTGATGAAGAATTTACCCCAAGAGGCAAAGACACTCTAAGCCAATCGAACAAATTTTGAAGAGATCTTCGGAAAGGTTAGTCAGCTAGGATCGGAACTCTGCTAGCTTGACCTTACCGAGCTGATATGCGAGATAGTGCGGTTAAATCTGACTCGTATTTAAGAAAGAGAAGTGCAGAGAAAACCATATCTCAGGTCAAGTTAATTTATGCTCAACTCACTAGTGATACATTTCCATAAAGTAAAGCAAGAGAAGAGAGATTTATTTTAATACGAGTCTTTCGAAATGTTGCATGGTAAATATATAGAGACTAGGAAAGAAAGGCCTCCTACTGAGAGTATGGTTGATGACCTAGATCGAAGTTGGATGGCCATTCACTAAAGAGAATGCCATTTCATCGGTTTTCATGTCTACAGATAGTGCGGTTAAATCTGACTCGTATTTAAGAAAGAGAAGTGCAGAGAAAACCATATCTCAGGTCAAGTTAATTTATGCTCAACTCACTAGTGATACATTTCCATAAAGTAAAGCAAGAGAAGAGAGATTTATTTTAATACGAGTCTTTCGAAATGTTGCATGGTAAATATATAGAGACTAGGAAAGAAAGGCCTCCTACTGAGAGTATGATTGATGACCTTTCTCGGTAGCGAAGTAGCTAGACCTAGATCCAAGTTCGATGGCCATTCACTAAAGAAAATGCCATTTCATCGGTTTTCATGTCTACTTAACGATTTTGTTGACAAAAAGCAAATGGATGGATGATCTCATTAGGAATTCATTGATATAATATATAGGGATCTAATTGAGATAAACATAGGTTGAGAACCCAATCAATACCATCCTCAAAGGAGGAAGACTTCTCTCAAGTTTTTCCAGGTATTATCTTCTATGTTTTGATTCTATTTTTGGAGAGAAATATTGAGGCCATAAACGTATTCGTACCGTGACAATGGATATATCCTTCTCTAGTAAGAATTTCACCAGATGGAAGGGTGTTTGAAGATGGACAGGAACCTAGTTTGATCCTCTAGAAAGTCGACCAAATCCTACATTTTCATGCTTGGTCAAGACGGACCGTGTCATGACACAAAAAAGAAAGACCATGTTACGATTACTGCCCAGTGAAAAGGTTATCTCGAAGACACAACAACACCTTAAAAAAATGTGGAGAAAGGAACAAAAACACCTGGTGAAAACAATTTAATGTAGCTGTTGGATTTGTGCACAAGTCTTTGACATTGTACATTCTACCTTATCTCTTTATTTTATTTTTCACTCACCAACAGAGTCCTCTCCGGTCTCCGGTGACTTGTACTATGCTCGAACATGGAGTGAATTACTAATTAAACTGAAATAATATGCAAACTATTCAACAATTCTCCTTGTTATAGAGAAATAAATAAGATTGTTATTGTACAAGAGAACTGATTAAATACCTCTACTCTCGAAACTCATTCTGTATCAATTCTATTTATTCATCATCTTGGATTAATTTTTCCGTTCTCTTTCTATCTGTTTTTTGCACAAGTCTTTGACATTGTACATTATACCTTATCTGTTTATTTTATTTTTCACTCACCAACATTGTCCTCTCCAGTCTCCGGTGACTTGTACAATGCTCGAACATGGAGTGAATACTAATTAAACTGAAATAATATGCAAACTATTCAACAATTCTCCTTGTTATAGAGAAATAAATAAGATTGTTGTTGTCCAAGAGAACTGATTAAATACCTCTATTCTCGAAACTCATTCTGTATCAATTCTATTTATTCATCATCTTGGATTAATTTTTCCGTTCTCTTTCTATCTGTTTATGCTTCCCCAAATTACATTTTAAATCATGCAGGCAATTTGTTTGTCACAATAGAGCATGATACATGGTACTATAGTATCACAAACAAATATGTTAATCAAATGCCATGGTAAGGTTGATGAAGGATCAGGTGATCTGGGGCTGGCTAAGTCTTGAAAAAAAAAAAAAGGATGGGTGCTCCTCAAAACAAAGCATCTAAAATAGTATTTTTATTTTAAGGGTAAAAATCAAATTACTACCAAGGATAAAAGATAGAGATAATTGCCTACATGGAACAATCAAAGGTTTTTTTCTTATTTGATTTAATTTTATATTTGTAAATATATCATTTTTTTCTTGTTAGTTACTGGCCTATATAAAAGTTTATTGAATAAATACTATAATAAAATTTTATTTTTAATATGAGATTGGAAATCCATTAATATATATATATCATATTTATAATAAAAAGTTATATTTTTTTTAATATGGGATAAGAATTTTTTTATTTAAATATTTTAATTTAAAAGAAGAATATAGTATTTTTTCAATTTGAAATAAAAAATCTTTTAAAATATTTTTTTTAAATTTTATTATTTGCAAAACACACATGATTATATTTATATAAATTATTTTTTAATTTTTTATATAAAATAAAAAAAACTTTTTTAAATTTTTCTAGATTAATCCATATTAAGCCGTATAACTAAAAAATTAATAACAACTATACATATGCATACCCAGTCGTGACGTCTGGGTCTCCTTTGATTGACGTAGGCGTGCTGCTCGTGTTGATGGGAGCATCTGGCAACCGGCAAGAATGGAGACCAAGAATTGAGGAACACCGTTTCTTTTACTCTTTCTTTTATGACGATCTTTCCCTGAAAATTCCAGTGGACAAGGAATTCAGTGAGTTAAGATAGTGTTTGGCTCCACTTTTTAATTGATTTTCTTTTTTATTTTTAATTGTTTTTGTTACTGTAATATTAAAAATAAATCTAAAAATATTTTGTATTTTTTTTTGGTAATGAACACCCACTAGTGAGAAAGTCACGTGCCTCTCGAGTGTACCTGTATTTAATATATGTACTATTTATTTTATTGGTAGATGAGGCAGAGATCTAGCTAGGTTGACCCACGAAGATACGCACAGGTTCGGCCCGTGGGTGGGTCTCCTTGGGGCCGCTTTTCAGGAGGGATGAGTCCTGCTGCTCATCCTGGCACGAGAATCCTGCATGCTGTGACTCTCTCCTGGCGTGTAAACCCATAAAATCCACAAGGTCCCATAGTTGTTCACATGTCTACATCAAAAGGGATCCAGAGACCAAATTATAATCACAATTACTTTTAGAAACGGGTCATGTGAATTCTCCTCTGAAATGTTGTGTTTGGTTTATACTTTTCTGGAAATGACACTCGTTTTGATATGGATATCTCGTAAAACGACCACAGCATCCCTTAAATGGGTCGTATATATCAATTATCAAGTGTATGCTTTCCTTTCGTGTTACCTCTAACATGAGTGGAACTAATCAATGCCTTTCTTTTCTAGTGGGAGACATGGATTTAGCATTAAGGAGATTAAGTTTTGATATTTTGATTTAATAATTTGAATAGACTTTGTATTTGGTGATGAATTTGATTTTTTTATGGTTTCAGTTATTTCTTATTTGATTTGCTTATTTTCTAGTTTTTTTAAGTTATATAAAAAAGAGAAACCATATAAATGAATAAAAAGATTGAAAATTAGAGCTTACATTGATA